ACCGGAGGGGCATCCGTGCCACCTTCATGGGAAGGGCTGAGGATCCCCAGACGAGGGGTCACCCAGTAGCCACCGGGCAGAAGCTAGAGGGGGCTGCACCGGCGTGCCCGCTGGCTCCGCCGGCAGCCAGCTGTGCCAGAGTGAACCGAGCCGCAGGCACAGAGAAGATGTAAATCTGAAAGTAGTTGTGATTGTCATTGTGAAGTTCGCATCAAAACCAAATCCTACACCTACGTTGGATTGGTTGATGGTGCTGACACTTGTGCAAAGTTTTTAAGGTGAAGTAGTAATAGGTGTGTGAATTTAAAGCCCATCTTCACTGAAATGTCATCCCTAGAGTAGATGTGCATAAAAACAGCCATCCACACCACACAAATTTGGTGATACTGCCAGAAGAGAGCAGTGGGTAGCATCAACGAGTTCAAGTGTTGTTAGGCGTCGTTTAAGAAAGCTGACTTTTGATGTGCTCATGTGGCAGAATTGGCTTATGTAAAATTGGCCTTTGAGGTTTTAAAATAAGTTTAAATAAACCTTAGATAATTAATTTTGTGTTAAATTTGTCTAGCTGTTATATAGCATTACAATTTCTGAGATCAAAGTCTACTGTTTTACTTTCATAATCAATGGCACCCAAGGTATTCTCTCCAAAGGCACAACTTACCCTGCACCAGGGGCAAGTTGTGCCACAAGACCACTTTTTTCAGAAAGCTACATTTCTTAAATACTATATGTGTGATTGTTCCCAGGGACGCACGACATCCTGAAATATATTTACATATTTTATTTGGAAGCATTACAGTCATGGTTTTAAGTAAAACCTGGCACAACCCACCCCATCGCCCCCTCCTACTGTTTTGTTCATAAATTATAGTCACATCAAGTTTTGAGAAAAAGCTGTTATTAAAACCTGCATTTCAACAAAGAGCTGTCAAAGGAGATCAAGGACGAGACTGTAGAGAAAGTGCTGCTCAGATAAAACCTAAATCGAGGAGTATGACCCAAAGAACACCATCGCCACAGTTAAGCATGGAGGTGGAAACATTATGCTATGGGGCTGTTTTTCTGCCAAGGGTAGGGGACGACCTCCAGCACGACAATGACCTAAAACATACCACCAAGGCAACAAAGGTGCGACTAAAGAAGAAGCACATTAAGGTCATGGAGTTGACTAACCAGACCTGAATGCTTGAGGATTTCATTGAACTATTTCATCTTTATGTGTTTTTTGAGTTTAAAGCTGCTGTGTGTATTGTTTCTACATCTCAACTGTAGTTGTCACAATTGGTGACAAATACTTGTGATATTGTGTGATGTCACGGCAATATTATACAGAACCATGCCACGCTGTATTGTACTGTTACTCTTACCAATCATAAGTTTTCTGAGGTAATACAAGCAGTTATAAGGGTGACAAATCTCTCAAGCGGTGAGTGTTGATATGGTGCAAACAGTGAGTAGTTTAAAAAAGGGAGGTACAGATACATATAAGCAGATCTCTGAGTTTATTGCTTAACAGAAACTAAATGAAAAACCCACAAGACAGATTACAGATGCTATTTCTGTGTCTCTGCTTATCTTCATCTCCAAGTCCTTACTGCACTAAAGACAGTATTAACTTTGTGAGAATACTTCATGTAGATCATGAACTGTTGTCATGTGTCCATTCACTTACATTTATGCACACATTAAAGTAGAATGACTCAATATAAGTAGGTGTATGAGTTGATGAGGCGTGTACTCAAAGTGATCACATCTGTAATGTTGAACTGGTAAATTGTACAGTGTGTGATAACTGCTGTGTTAACATGCTCAGAACAGCAGCTAATGAAAAACGCTATGGGCGGTTTAGATGTAACAACCTTTCTTGTTCAGTATTGCCCTTTAAGGATGTGGACTGTGATACATGCACAACAAACTAATAGATTAAGATGTCCCATAAATACACAAACACACTCACTGGTTTTATAATTTTCAGTCACTGGGAGTTATGGTCTTCTGTGGCTGACACAGCAAGCCAAAAAAAAGAAAAATAAAATGGAAAAGTGATCAAATCCTGAGAAAGTTATGGAATAACTTAAGTCCATATTAAAATCCAACAGGAGTCAATAATGGTCTAAACCAGCGGTCCCCAACCTTTTTTGCGCCACGGACC